CTTTCTCCCTTTTTTCCTTTCTTTTCTCTTCTCCTTCTCCCTTTCTTCTCCCCCTCTATCTCCCTCTCTCTCTCCCTCATGCATGCATGCAGTGATTCATACAAAGATAACAAAACAATGCAAGCACCCTTTTTTAGGGCTTTATACTTTATAAAATACTTTTGTAAATCATTCACTTGAGCTTCTTAGTAACTTTACAGAAAAAAATATATAAATGATTATACATTTCTACAGAGACGTGAAGTGAGTTCCCAAGCACCTACATCTCTTTGTAGCAAATCAAGTCAATCAAATCCCTCTCCAGCCTGCATGGTCGGCCCCACAGGGGAAAAGGAGCGCTGGGTGGGAAAATGCTGACCTACACAGGGAGAGCGCAGGATGCTTCCTCTACGGCCAAGAGTATGGAAACTTACGGGGATGGTTGCATCCCACAGGAGACAAGACAGCTTGACCCCTGGGCAGAGTTAGGGGCTGACGTCAGCAGCACCCCAAAGAGGGGCAGCCAGGGAGGGGCCAAGTACAAGGCGAGGGCTGCAGTGCACCCAGGAAGCGGGGCTGGGCTAGTCTCACCTGGTGCGGGGTTGGGGGGTGCTATACCTATCAATTCTCTCCCCCTCAGATACACACACTCACCCCTCCCCACCTCACCTGCCCCTCTCCCTGCCCCTACTTGCAAGTTACTGGCACAAAACAAAGCCAGCAAACTCCTTTGAGGCCCAGTAAAGGGACAGTTGATTTTCCAGGCACAGTGTCCTAGAGCAGGCCCTGGCCTCCAGCCCAGCTGTGGCATCCAGACTGCACACTCCCAGACTGTCACACTGAGTAATCAGTCACTCAAGAACCATTCTTCTCTGGGGCCGGCACTGTGGCGCAGCAGGTAAAGCCGCCACCTGTAGCACCAGCATGCCATATGGCACCTGTTCAAGTCCCAGCTGCTCCACTTCCTATCCAGCTCCCTGCCAATGTGCCTGGGAAAGCAGCAGCAGATGGCCCATGTGCTTGGACCCCCACATCCACGTGGGAGACCTGGAAGAAACGCCTGGCTCCCAGCTCTGGCCTGGCCCAGCCCAGGCTTTTGTTACCATTTTGGGAAGTGAACCAGTGGATGGACGATCTCTCTAGATCTCTCCCTCTGTAACTCTGGCTTCCAAATAAATAAATAAATCTTTAGAAAGAAAGCCTATAAATAATTACACAGTGGAAGATACAAGCGAACAGTCAAAAGCATAAATTCAGTGCTCAGCGTAAAGAGATTTTCTTCTTTCTTCTGCTCTTTCCTCTCTCTCATCTTTCTCATCCTTTATACCTCCAGGGTACCCTGTGGGACCCCTACCCCAGGCGAAGCCGCTGGCACCTACATCCAGAGGGCATAATGTGCAGGAGAGACCTCCATGAGGACAAAGCACTCCAACTGGCCTGCAGGAGCACTGGTCAGCTCAGTCTACGCAACCCTGGCTTGGCAGGCTCTGGCCCTTGTCTTCTGTCCTGGCCCCCAGAGGGCCATGCCCTTGACTTTGTCTTTCCCACACCTGCATCCCTTCCACGCTCACTGTCTGTCCACCTACTCCCTCAGTGCCCAAACGCAACAACTCAACGGCCCCACCAAGATCTCTAGGCCTACAATGTGGAGACCTCACCACCCAGCTTCCTCAAGTCCTCTCCGCCCCTTCATGCACCCTACTCCTATGGCTGATCCCTGCGGTCACTCATGTGCCGATACCTTCTACTCCCTCGCTGGGAGTCCAAGGAAGCCACACCTGGGTTAAACCTAACTCTGCACCTGCTCTGTGGTGCATCTAGCAGTGGTTGGAGGAAAACTGCCCCCATCACTCTCCCTAGCCATACTTTAATCTTGGGGGAGAGTCCAGTGGGCTCTGAATGACGCGGCCCTGATGTGTTCCAGGGCCTGATGTGTTCCAGGCCTCTCGTCTTTTCCTCTCTCCCATGCTCTCTGGCGATGGTGTTGCAACATCTCGTCTCTCACCACCTTCCCTCTCCGCAGTCTTGCTTTCCGCGTCACCAAGATCATCACAGCAAGTGGAAAAGAACTCCCTCATGCTCCCACCACCTCTGCCCACCTCCCCCATGTCAACGTCTGTGAGCCCGAGCCCAGCCTGCTCCCTGTCACTGTAGGGTGGGGGTGGGGGGCTGCCCCTGCTGGCACAGGCCAGCCACTGGGTGGGCTGGCTCCCTCCACTCTGCCTTCCCTGGGGACACAGCTTCGGCACTGCTCTTTAGCTACACCTTCTCATTTTCTCTCTCTACTGAATTTGTCATAGCACCTGGGAAAGCAGTGGAAGATGGACCAGGCACTTGGGCCTCTGCCACCCATAGGGGAGACCCAAATCGGGTTCTGGCCTCCTGGCTTTGGCCTAGCCCAACCCCAGCATTCGCGGCCATTGGGGGAATAAACCCGTGGATAGTCTCTCTCTCTCTCTCTCTCTCTCTCTCTCTCTCTCTCTCTCTCTCCCTGTGTGTGTGTGTTCTTCTCTGTCAGTCTACTTTTCAAACAAATCTTTAGCAAAGAAGAAGCAACAGCCCACATTCCATATCGGAGTACCCGGGTTCAATTCCCAGCTCTGCTTTCTGATGCCACCCTCCCGCCACTGCAGACCCCGGGAGGCAGCAGATGATGGCTCACGCAGTTGGGTCCCTGCCACCCACATGGGAAACCTGCAGAGTCCCCAGCTCCCAGCTTCAGCCCCCACACATCCCCAGACATTGTAGGTATTTGGGCAATGCACCAGCAGGTGGGAGCGCTGTCTGTCTCTCTCTTGCTCTTTCTCTCTGCCTCTCAAATAAATGAAAATTGAAAATGAAACAATCCTATGGCATAGCAGGTGTATCTGTATGATACATAGGGTAATTCTCAAATATTTATCTTCAGCTAGAACCTGCCCCCTGAGCTCCATCCTCGCACTCCCCCAGTGCTATCAGACACTCACTCAGACGTTTAATGGAGCTCCTGATTCCCCTCCCACAGCCCTGGGTCAGTCTTCCCCACTGCAGTTGTTTTTTTTTGTTTTGTTTTGTTTTGTTTTTGTTTTGTTTTGTTTTTTACAGGCAGAGTGGACAGTGAGAGAGAGAGACAGAGAGAAAGGTCTTCCTTTGCCGCGGCTGGCGCGCTGCAGCCGGCGCACCACGCTGATCTGAAGGCAGGAGCCAGGTGCTTCTCCTGGTCTCCCATGGACTGCAGGGCCCAAGCACTTGGGCCATCCTCCACTGCACTCCCTGGCCACAGCAGAGAGCTGGCCTGGAAGAGGGGCAACCGGGACAGAATCCGGCGCCCCGACCGGGACTAGAACCCGGGGTGCTGGTGCCGGAAGGCGGAGGATTAGCCTAGTGAGCCGCGGCACCGGCTCCCACTGCAGTTCTAAGCCATTTTATTCTTCCAGTTGCTCAGACTGAAGATGTGGCTGCCATCTTGACTGTCTTCTCACCCCACACATCCGGGTCATTAGCAGACCTCCTCGGCTATGGCTGCAAATCAGATCCAAAACCCAGTTACTGCTTCTCATCTCCCTCAGCGCTGACACCTGTCCCCTTGCCCGGGTTGTCACCCAGCCTCCCAATGTATGGATGCCGCTGTTCGTGCAGCACCGCCACCCCACCCCCAACAACAGACTCTCCACACAGCTTTCGGAATTCTGGTTAAGAGGCAAGCATCGTGGCACAGCAGGTGAAGTCACCGCTTGCGACACTGGCATCTCCTATGGGCGCACCAGTTCAAGTCCCAGCCACCCTGCTTCCAGTCCAGCTCTTTGTTCATGCTCCTGGGAAAGCAGTGGAAGACTCTTCTACCTACGTGGGAGACCCAGATGGAGCTCCCAGATCCTGGCTTCAGCCTGGCCCAGCCCTGGCTGTTGTGACCATTTGGTGAGTGAACCAGTGGATAAAAGATTTCTCTTCTCTTCTCTTCTCTTCTCTTCTCTTCTCTTCTCTTCTCTTCTCTTCTCTTCTCTTCTCTTCTCTTCTCTTCTCTTCTCTTCTCTTCTCTTCTCTTCTCCTCTCCTCTCCTCTCCTCTCCTCTCCTCTCCTCTCCTCTCCTCTCTCTCTCTCTCTCTCTCTCTCTCTCTCTCTCTCCTTCTCTCTGTAACTCTGCCTTTCAAATAAATAAAATAAACTTTTTTAAAAAAAATTATCTGGTTAAAGCCCGTCGCTCTGCAGCCCAAAACCCTCCAGTGCCTTTCCATTTCGCTTACAGAGAAGCTATTGACCTTGGCCTGGGCCTGCGGTCTCCTCCTGACCTGTCCCTGCTTCTCAGCCCTGACCCCTCTCTAGTCCCCCAGCCGCAGCGACTGCCTCGACAACTTGCCAGGCATCTGCTTTAGGGCTGGTGCCTTCTGCTCCATCGGCCCCGGACGCTCTTCCCAGCTAGCCCACTCCTGAACATTTCATCTGTCCCCAGCATTTCTTTGTTACATATCTATTTATTTATTTGAAAGGCAGGTGGCAGAAAGAGAAGTCACAGAAAGAAAGGATAAGAGAGAGAGAGACCCACCTTCGATCTGCTGGTTCACTCCCCCACATGGCTACAGCGGCCAGGTCTGAGCTGGGCTGGAGCCAGGAGCTCCATCCTGGTCTCCTATACGGTTAGAAGGAGCCCAGGCACTTACGCCATCTTCCTCTGTCTTCCTAGCAGCATTAACAGGGGGCTGTGCTGGCGGCAGAGCGGCCAGTTCCGGAACAGGCACTCCAACATGGGATGCCCGCATTGCGAGCTGCGGCTTAACCTGCTGTGCTGCACATAGGCCGCCAGCCCTGCTATTTCTTAGCCACCTTCCCGGCTCTTTTTTCTCCTTAGCATTCTCTCGGTCTAATATCCCATATGTTGTGCTTTCTCACCTGCTGGTCTGCCTGCCCTCTAAAGTGCCACCCAGTACAGGGGGTTTTGTCTGTCTGGGTCACTGCCATAGCTCAGGATCTAGGAGAGTTCAGGGCAGCCCCGTGCAGGTGCTCACCCCAGAATGCTGCTTTGTGGACAAGGTCCTAGCCGGCTTTCCATTGTAACTGACTATCACAGGCTCGGGCACCGAGAAAGAGCAGGGGTGTATTTAGCTCCTGGGTCTGGAGGTGGCGAAGTCCAAGAGCCCGGCGCTGGCATCTGCTCCGTGTCTGGCGAGGACCCTCCTGCTGCACCGTTAACAAGGCAGAGGGCGTCCGGGGGCGCCACGGAGCAAGTGCTACGCCCTCATGACCTCATCCAATCCTGGAGGCCCCACCTCCGAGTCCCATCAACGTCAGAGTAGGGGAATGAAGTTCCGGGGACCACGTGCAAACCACAGCAGACGGGAGGACCCTCGGCGCAGCCATCCAGGCGGCACCGAGGACGTCGGGGTTTCGGAGCCCACACTCTTGCGGGCTTTAGCGACCACAGTGAGGGCCGCTTCCTTCAACATGCTGGAGGCAACAGAAGCCCGCCACTGGAGTCGGGTGGACCTGCACCAATTCCAGCCTCTGACTCTTAGGGAAAAGCTCTTCGACTCTGTGCATCTCAGTTGATTCATCAGTAAAATGGGAACGATGCTACCTAGGAAACCGTTTGTATTAAATTATGGGGCAGTACCTGGCACACAGTAGGCACTTGGGGAACAGAAAGTGTTTTTAGGGGCTGGTGCCCCCCGGGTAAAGCCATCGCCTGCAACGTTGGCATCCCATAGGAGTGCTGGAAGCAGCAGAGGATGGCTCAAGTTCTTGGGCCCCTGCAGGGGGCAGTGCAGAAGACCTGGAAGAAGCTCCTGGCTCTTGGCTTTGACCTGGCCCGGTGCTGGCCATGACCACCATCTGGGAAGTGAACCAGCAAATGGAAGATCTCTCTCTGTAAATCTTTCAAACAAATAAATTAAAAAAAAAAAAAAGTATTCTCAGGGGCTGTGAGAAAGTTCTTAGCTTGTGAAGAATCTCATTGGTGATTCAAAATCAATTTGGTCTTTATCAAAAGGATACAGGCAGATTGCTCACCATCTCTCTGAAGCCAACACAGGCACAGGCAGGGTTATGCCCTGGCTGCAGGAGGGAAGTGGGAATGCCGCAGTCTCCAGGCCCATGGTCCGTGCTCCACTCTGCCTTTTTTTTTTTTTTTTACAGGCAGAGTTAGACAGTGAGAGAGAGAGAGAGAGAGGTCTTCCTTTTCTGTTGGTTCACTCCCCAAATGGCCACTACAGCCAGCACACTGTGCTGATCCGAAGGCAGGAGCCAGGTGCTTCTCCTGGTCTCCCATGCGGGTGCAGGGCCCAAGCACTTGGGCCATCCTCCACTGCACTTGCGGGCCACAGCAGAGAGCTGGCCTGGAAGAGGGGCAACCGGGACAGAATCTGGCACCCCAACTGGGTGCCAGATAAAATTACATTAAATGAGTATGCACATAGGCGTAGTGTATATACCACACTTTTAAGATGTCACAATGCCATTTTCATTCTTCAGGTGGCCTATCTAAACCCTTCATTATGTCATAAATAAGCAGAATTGATATGACAGAACCCTGTTCAATTATTAATATAGTGACTCCGTAACTTCACTCTGTGAACCTAGAAAATGATAAAAATTAGGATTGTAGACTTGTTTGATTGACATATAGTGCCAGCACATGTGTGATGTCATGACAATCACCACTTCTACATGTCTTGGATTAGTTGTGCATATGTGGTGACTTTCCCTTCTCAGTTTCAATCAGTCTCTGGAACTTCAGTTCTTAGCAATCACTGGTTGATCTCTGGTATTGAAAGTTTTCAGAAGTACCTCCAGGTTGAGTGATTTGGTGGACAGATTCACAGGATGAAGCATGTGGATAAAGCCATGAATATAATTCATGTATTTACACAGTAAATATAAATCAAGGAAAATCAACATAGAAACAAACCTAGAAGAAATCTGTGTGAAATTCAACAAGTCCTCTCCCAGTAAATTCCCATAAAACATGCTAAATTCTCCCGTATCAGAATTTTTTTTTTAAAGATTCATTTATTTACTTGAAAGTCAGAGTTACACAGAGAGAGGAGAGGCAGAGAGAGAGAGAGAGAAAGAGAGAGAGAGAGGTCTTCCATCTGTTGGTTCACTCTCCAATTGGCCGGAACAGCCAGAGCTGGGCTGATTGGAAGCCAGGAGCCAGGAGCCAGGAGCTTCCTCCAAG